GCCGGTACCGCTGCATGGTGGGAAATCGGGAGGAAGGCGTTAGCACAGGCTAGTCCGCACGCCTCAGACCCTGCTTCAGGCCCTTCCGATCGTCTTCTCCCAGGTCCCTGGAAAGCCTGCCCTTACCTTTGGGCCACATCCTGGTGCCAGACTCCCTGTGCCCCCATCACGTCCCCTTCCCCGGTTCCTCCTGCTTTCTCCTCCTCTTGGTAGACTCGCCCTACATGACCCGCCACTCAGTCTTAGACTCAGGCCGCCTGCGCACCTCCACCCGCCGCCCCCCCCAACCCCGGCCCCAGACACCATCAGTGTGCCTTCCTCACTCACAGATGTAGTAGTAGGTTTCTCCAGGCAAGAACTCGAAGCCAAGGGAGAAGGGTGTAAAGCGCTGAATCTTCTCTGAGAATCGAACAGGACCAAAGGGAGCGAAAGGGAGGGCGCACTCCCAGCGCTTGAAGGCGCCCGGGCCCCGGGCCTGGCAGGCCTCATAGCCCTGCCGGTCCACCATGTATAAAGCAAACGTCTCGGGGCCGTCCGGGGGCCCTGGCCCATCATAATGCGGGCAGAAGATGTCTAGGTAGTCGTTGAGGACCAACTCCACCACCGCGTCTCCTCCGAGCAGCCTGCAGGCATAAGGCAGGTGTGGGCTGAAGGGGCAGGGCACAGGGCACCCGGGGGGGCGTAAGGGCCCCGGAGAGACCCCTCCCCATGGCCCCCCGCCAGCCAGCCTCTTCCCCACCCACTGGAGAGGGAGCGGCTCGGGAGGGTCTGCGCTTCCCAGCCTGACAACTCTAGAGAGACAGTCGAGAAATGGGGGACGTAACCACTACAGGTCTTGAGAGGTGAAGGGACCGCAGTGCCCACTAGCACGAGGCTCCCACACGAGAAGGCCACTCACCACGCCCTACGTTTTCAAGTTGGAGCTGCCGCCCAGCTCTGTGGCCCCAGTGCCCAACAGAGCGTCTGGCACAGCACCCTGTACTTGACAAATGCCAGGTCTGGGGCTGCTGCACAGCTGGGCACGGAGGGAGGGGTACGCAGCACAGTCATGGCCTCGGAGAGGGAGGCCCGGATCAGCATCCGCATCAACAGCAACAGAGAGAGAAAGACTGCTTTGCAGACCTCAGTCCAACACCGGAAAGATGCCACAGGACAAAAAAGAAAGAGGGAGTGGATGGGGGTACCTCCTTTTTGTTTTTCCAGGACAAGGAAATGTTGGACGTGGAGCAGAAGCCCTTCCAGATATTAATCAATCTTAGGCCTACTCAGGACTCCCTTCACCTCTTGGGAGCTGCCTGTGGGAGCCAGGACAGGCGGGAAGGGCTGTCACCCCCTTCCTCCTTCCCTGCCATACACACAGTCCAGCCTGACTCCCGAAAGGCCTCTCGCTATCCCTCAATGGGTGGTCTAAGGACCACCTGCATCTGGAGCTCTAATTAGAAATGCAGATTCCTGGGCTCAGCTCAGACCAACTAGAACACGAGCTGGGCCCTGGTTGGATTTGTTCCAGATCATCCCTAGTGCCTGGAAAAGTGTCCTGCCCAAACACTCAATAAGCATTCGTAGATTGAATGAATGAGCCAGAAACCTCAGGGTTCGGGGCTAGGAACCTGAGTTTCTAACAAGTTCTTCAAGTGATGCAGAGGCACTGGTCTGGAACAGAGAGGGGGATTCGGAACTGGAGGACAATAGTTGCTATCACGTGGTGCTCCTATTGTAATGACCTATGGGAGGCTGCCCTCCCTGGGGGTCTTGGGGCTGGAAGAGGCCAGAGCTGAGGTCTTATCTCCCTACAGCCAGCATCCTAGCACACGCCCTGGCACACCGCACACTGTGTAACGCCTGTCGGTGAGTGAGCAAATGCACAGTCACAGATTGTCTCAAGTATCAGAAAGGCAAACAGATGGAGAAAGCAGAGAGAGGCACGGAGAGCTGGGGAAGAAGATGAAAACACTCGAAAATACCGAGGTTCAAAGGCTTGGGAGAAAGAAATAATGATTTTTATCTGCACAGCCTGCACCTCGTTTGCACACGTGACCTCGGCCAGCCAGCCCGATTTCCCAGGGTGCCAGGTGTTATGAGCCCATTTTACAGACCAGATAACTGAGGTCGGAGAGGTCAACCGACTCGCCCGAAGGTGATTCAGCTGGAAGGGCTGGGCCGGGACTGGACAGAATTAGAAGGGCGGATAGTGACGGAGATGAAAGCAGAGACAGCGAATGAGATCAGGAGACGGCGAGCGCCGGAGGGGAGGCCCAGCAAGCAGGAGCTTCAACCACGCTCTTTCACGAGAGTAGAGCCCCCTCCCTCCCTCTCCAGACCGCGCGCCCCGGCTCGGGCAGGAGGGCGGGGGAATCAGCCGGAGAGAGGCCAGAAGCGAGGGGGCGGGGCTCGGAGCGCAGGCCGAGGCCCCCCCAGCTCCCCGCTCTCCCAGGTCCCACCATCCGCCTGCGGAGCCGGGGTCCTCCGCCCGCCCCCCAACACGTGCGGGCGGGGGGAGCCCGGGGCGCGCCTCGCCCCTCCCCTCCCCCTCCCCCGCCGGCTCAAACAAAGGAGCCCCGGCGCGCGGCCGGGCGCAGGCGGCGCCGCGCACGGAGCGAGAGTGGGGCGCGCGCCCGGCCCGGGAGCGCGCAGGCCCGGCCCGCCGCCGCCTGGGTTCGGCCCGGCTACCTGGGGTTACTGGAGTTCCAGTAGACGGCGTGGCGGAGGCCGGAGCCCCCTCGCAGCGGGGAGCTGAGGAGCGCGGCCCAGAGGACAGTCCGCAGCAGGGGCAGCAGCCGCATCGCCCCCGGGGTCCGCTCTGGTCTGGTCCGGCCGGTCCCGGCCCGCTTCGCTGCCGCGGCGAGAAAGGTACAAAGTG